AATATGAACAATATTTTACTTTTTTTTACTTAATTTTTTTTATTAAGCCGCACATTTATTATATTTTCAAAATTCGTCTCACTCAAATTAAACTATAAGGTGATAGTATAATTTTTATTGTTGAAAACACTGACTTGGGTAGCCGGCACTGCCAATATGATATCAGATTTGATGTGTCATTTATAATAATAATTTGCATTTAATTTTTCTCTAAGCATTATAATTTACAAGCTTAAAATATTTTAAAAAAATGTTATAAAATGACAATATACTAAAGTTTATAAAAATTATGACCGACACTTATCATTCAAATGTGATTGATGATAATCTTTAAAATAATTTGAATATAATTGAAATTTTTTCAATATACTAATAATAACGCATATTGTTTTATAAGCATACATGAGGCTCGAACCGGTTCAGAGACATTATAGCGGTTCGGTTCAGGTTCATAATTTTTTTAGCGGTTTAGGTTCAGTTTAGGTTTGATAAAAAATACCGGTTTTTAGCAGTTTAACGGTTCGGTTCAGGTTCGGTTTGGATCCCTGGTTTAAATAAAAGAATGAATAATTAAAAATATGCTAAAAATATATAAAATATATATCTAGATCCTAACACCTTTGCAAGATACAATACTAAGTGATCTCGAAATTATTCAAAAAAAAATACAAATACAAAAAGTTATTTGTATTTAGTATTTTAAATTCAAATATTAGCGATACTGCTTTGATCTGGTAAACAATACTTTCTTAAAAAATAGTGTTGTTTAATTAACTAGGTACATTTTTGCAAAATATATAGCTAAAAATTTTTTTGAATAATAATTAGTTATTTTTGAAGTTACCTTTTAAAATATGTTAAATAATATTTTATGTTTTATTCATTATCATGAGTTGATTTCCAAAATTTAATTCATATTAATACTATGTCTTGCCTGTTTGCATCTCTGTTTAGCCTAGAGATGCTTATTTTTGGAGTAACACAGACACGCCTTTTTGACACAAATTTTTATGAAAATCAATTTTATATTGGGTTATATATGCTAAATTTTTTTGGTTTCCTTGGAAATAAACCTTATATTGTGGTACATTTTTCTCAGTATAATTATTTCTTTATTAAAATTGTATTTTTATATTCCTTTTATTAAAATTTTTAATTCGCAAAATTATTTTCTATAATAAAAAAAAATATATTTAAAAATGATATAAATAACTTGTATTGTAATTTATGCTAGAGGTCTGCAAAATCCGGCCTGTTTCTGCTCGTTAAGAATTTCTGCACAAGTTGCCTTGCTTGTTAAATTATTTGCCGAGCCTGGCCCATTAAAATTTTAGGAAAACTCCGCCCCAACCTGTTAAATTTTTTTGTATAAATTTTTCGGCCATAACATTTTTAATATCTATATCTAATTTTTTCCCACTGTCAATTAAGACTCTTATATCTCCTCTATGGCTATCTGTTTCTACAAAACCATTTTATAAATCAATTGTGTTTATCAGTATTCGTGATTGGATCATATCATAAATAACTTGTTTATTTTTTTGCGAATTTACTATATTATATATAGATTTAGTATTTTAGTTAGATAGTTCTTAAAATGCAAAGAAAGCATATTGTAATTTATTTTCAAATAGTAATAATCAAAATAATAGAATAAAAATTTTACGAAAAATGAGAGATTTGCGAAGCTCTTCCTGATATTTTATATGTAAATTTTCCTGCCCAATCCTAAAATTTTTACACATCTCGGATGTTGGGTTTTCGCACGAGCCGGGCTTTTTGATCTCTAATTTACACTGTAACTGGTTAATTTTCAAATACTTAAACTTCAGTTTTTTAAGTAGTAACAAGGTAACTATTTACTTAAAAAGTAATGTAACAGATATATTTTTATAAAAATAACGGGTAGTTATTTCACAAATTCTTTATATAACATAAACTAGTGTTGTAAACGAACGCGTTCAGTGAACGAATTTCGTTTTTTTGAAAAAAATGATGATCGGCGTTCCCTTTATTTTTGATGAACTTTGAACGTGAACGCGTTCCTTTTTTATGACGAACGCGTTCGAATTTAACGTTCGTTCAATTTTAAAAACACTTTTTATTTTTTGAAAAATTTAATATTAATTCGAATTTTTTAAGAAAAAACTCTTGTATTTTATAATCAACTGTTTTTCCTTCTTCACATTTCAATTTTTTTAACACGCCATTATTATATTTTATTATTTTGAGTATTATTTATATTTTATTAATAGATTAACATAAGCATGGATATTATTATTTCATCATCATCATCTGATTATGTCAAAATCAGATGAACTAACATTACCTTGGGCCAAATATGATAAATATTTTACAGTAACATCCTATATTGAAGGAACTAATTCAATACTTACCAAATATAAAATGCGCCCAAAAAGTATTATATATCAGTTTCAAAATCTTCAAGTTCCAATTTAAAACGACATTTGATTGTAATAATAAATATTTTATATAATATAACCAAGTAAAATCATTAAATTTGAAGAAAAATGCATTTAGACTACTTGACCCTAACAATAACGATAGTTATTTTAAAATTAAAAAAAAATAATGGCCTAAAATATGGTCAACCATTGATAGACAGATTAATAAAGGGTATTAAACTTATCACTATCAAATTAATTACATATATTTTATTTTATTTTGAAGATTTGAACATATATATGAAGATCAATATGTTCTTTCTGCAATTATACTCCAGGATTCAAGCTTCATTCCACAGAACGAACCTATAAAAAATAAACTTATAGTGTTATTGAAAAATGCATTGAAAACCCTAGAAATGATAATGCAAGAACTGTTAATTTCGAGATATCCTTTTTTATTGACGAGGATGTAGAGGATGGATTGGAGGAGGATAAATTATCTCAATTTTTTGAAGTAAAGGACAAAACAATAAATGTTTTTAATAAAATCCTCACGCTAAAAGAGTTGTTTATTAAGTATAATACCGCAATCCCCTCATCTGCCCCTGCAGAGTGCGTTTTTAGTATAGCTAATGCCGTATTAACTGCCAAGTGTTCCAGTCTATCACATGAAAATTTTGAAAAACAATTGTTATTAAATTTTAATAAGAAAAATTTTTTATAAATAAAAATATCTTTTTATTCGCTATATTATATTATATTGTATTTATGATTATATTATCAAAATAAAACTATTATTTTTTGGCTAATATATTGTGTTAAAACATATAAGACATTTATTTATATTAAATTTAATTTTAAAAAAAATTTATCATAAATTTTTGAACGAAACGCGTTCATGAAAGTGAACGTGAACGCGTTCAATTTTTTTAGAGATGTTTACAGCACTAATATAAACTCATCATTTTTAATGTAAATTTTTTTTATTGTACAAAATAATTTTGCTATTTACAAATTTAATTAAAGGCATTTACAGGGTTTGCTATTATTTTTTTCACCGAATATCTTATTATGAGAGCACAAAATACGTCAACATTTTTTATTTTTGTTATTCAATTCGATCATATAAAAAAAATAATAATAAATTGTCATTTCCTCTACCTTTATCCTTCTTTCGAACAAATTCTTAGTCAAAACCAGTGGCGTAGCCACGATTTTCTCATGGGGGTGGGGGTTGAAATTTTTTTGTTTGGAGGGGTTTCGCCCCCTAAACTTCTCAATTTTTATGAACACTCTATAGCCCATATCTTAGGCTATGTTAGAATTATTTTAAATATATAACATAATTTTAGAGTGAATTTCATTTTAGATTTTATATTATATAAAAATACTTTAACATAAATACCATTCCTTTATTTAATCATGTATTTATTTTTATAATTTAAAATAAATTTCAAAATGTAGATATTTTATACAGATTATATTATTAAAAATTTTATTGTATAAAAACTCTAAAAAAAATATAATTTAACAATTACAAAAATATAAGTAATTTTTATGCATATAATGGTATTTAATAAAATATGACGATATTATCAAAATATAAATAATACACAGTACTTTGATTAAAAATAGTATTATAAATGTTGTTTGATTATAAATATTTTATTAAAACTAATATAATCATATTGTTCTGATTTGAATTTATAAAAGGTCTACTTTTCTCTAAGATTTTGCTAATTCATTTAGAATCAAAATAGAATAATCTCTTTGTAAATATTTAATACGGCTAATCCATTTAAACGTTTTTCACCGGTGGTATTTCTTAAATGGGTTAACCTTTTTAATTGAAAAAACCTTTCATTAGTGGAGGTACTAATTGGTAAGGTCGCTAAAATAATTAATAGGCAGAGAATCTAAAGTGCAATTACTCATAGAAAAGGCCTGCAGAGCATTTTCTGGTCTCAAAGAATAATCTATTTAGTCAAGATTTTTAACCAAAATTCGACATTACAAAATAATTTATCATTTGAGTCAACTAAATCAACGTAGAACTCGGAGATTCTCTTTATATCCTCTCTCAAGTGTAATCAACAGTTTAGACCTAACCGGCAAAAGAAAATAAAAGCTTTTTAAAATAAAATTATATGACTAATAATTTCCTTTAATTGAAATTAAAGTGTATCAATAAGGGGAATTAAAATGTTTATTTTATAATCCTCAATCGTAGATGCATCAATATTTGAGCGATTGGATTGTTTAGAAACTACCCTAGGTTTAAAAATTTCAATCCCAAACATATTAGCAAATTTTTCACTTTTACATTCTATTTGCAATATAGGCGTGTAAAAGACGTGTTCTCATTTTTATACAAAATAAATTTTCCTAGACTAAAAAGTTCTATGAGCGCTTGATGTAATTGTAAGTTAAACAATATATTAAATCAGCGATTAAGCGTCCATAGTATCACCTGTATTTTTATTGAAAAATTATTAAATATATAATTATTACCATTTGATTCAAATTAAATTTAGTTAAAAATTAATTCTATAATTCTATTTTTACGCTTAAAAAAATACTAGTTATCGCTTCTTTTCTTTGGAGATGGAGGGATATATTTTTTTTTATGCAAAATGGTCAAATCATTTTATTTATTTTAAAATGGGATATATACATTAGTTTTTTAAAAAAATATATATATTAAAAAATGAAATTAAAAAAAATATATGTATAAAAAAATAACTAAGGAAAAATATTTTAAAAAAGGGTACATATCACCCTAGAGAAGAGTGAATATTTAAAAATTGGACCTGCAGATATCCAGGGAAATCTGCTGACGAAGGTAAAATTCTTCATTGGGTCTTGAAATCTGTCTCATTTTTTTCCTATGTTTGTTTTTTTTAGAATTTCAGCCTTTTCAATGGCAGAAAAAGAGAGGTTGGACTTTACTGCAAAATCGACACAGGTATAGTCCCAAGCGAGCGGAAGACCATTAGTTAAGGGGATGAGAGATATCCCATCGGGGCGTATGGCATTTTCGTTTGAAATACCCACTGGTTCGAGGGTGGATGGAATATTAACTTTTTTGAGGGTCGCTAGATTGTTGATAGATTTATGACGCGATTGTCATCCATGGGAGAACTTCCAGTGCAAGGGATGGTAAGCTGATTCAATGTGATGGCCACAGTCTAGGAGGGAACTACAGCATTACAACCAAGGCGAAGGGCTATGGAGATGCGTAGCTGTTCACCAGTCAAGAGGAGGTCAAGATTGGAACCGGGGTTGGCTTCCAACCATTCGTAACCTGAATTTGCATATAATACTAAATTATTAAGATTGTCTTCAAAGGGCCTGTTGAAATTAAGTATTCAACGTAACGGGCGCTCAGAGAAACATCCCAGTCTTTTTGAATGCTGGAGGCAGGTCGACAAAGACTGGATGCGCAATTGCTGTCTCAGAAGGTGAAGGTCGAGAAAGGTCAGTATCTGAAGTAGTGGATCCATTTCGATAATAGATTGAGCAGCCAGGCGAGAAGAGATAAAGGTTGAGAGGGATAGTTGTATCGTGGATCGGATACCAATACCACCGGACTTGCTAGGAAAGGTGGCCTGAGCCAAGATGAATTGGTAGGCTTAATATATTTTCAAGAAAGCCCTTGATTTGGGTTCCATGGGAAATGAGCAAGTCGCTGCATTTGAAGATCGGAGAGGATCTGAGGGGGTAAAGGAATTTAGGTATATTGAAATAATTTTTTATTAAAATAATATTGATGGGCGATGAGGTAATTAAATAATGTGTTTAATTCGGATAAATTGCTAAGGGATTTGTTTAAAAAAGTTTTGATTGCCTTTTTACCCACTATAGGTGATCCAAGATGTGTTATCTCATCTCTGCCTGGTATATCATGTCTGAAGAAATGGATGTAGAATTTAGGAAGCAAATCTCACATTTGAGGAGATTGAGTGATAGTCCTGTAATATGTGAGAGATTCTCTATGATGAGGGGGGTAGACATGATTGTGGAAAGGTTGCCCGAGACAATGCCACCATATAGATACCAGGAATTTAAGGTAAGGAAGGATTTAGATTGAATTTCCTGGATTATTCTGTGGATCCCGATGCAAAAAAGGGCTATGCCTCAAGGGTCTCCCTGTTGAATTCCCTCTTGAGATTTGATTATGTTGTATTCTATTTTAGAAAAGTGGGGCTTGAATAACTGTGGAGGATGTAAGAAGAGTATTCGGGATATTTATTGCAGAACAGGGGAACAAAGTGTTGACGTTTTATTGTGTTAAAGGCATTGTTGAAATCATGTTTTAGTACCACATCATTGTGGATACTGTTAGCTATAGTTATACGAGCAAGGTGGGCTGAAATTTCACCGCCTCTAGCGGTGAGAGAAATGAGGAATGAGATTCCTTGATTCGTGAAGCAATGATCTTGGAGACGGTTCTTCGGAAGAAAGACCCAACAGCGATTGGGCGAATATCTCCATCCTTTTTTTGAGGGCTATTAGGCGAGCGCCAAAGAGAATAGGAATGATAAGTGATGGAAGGGGCCCGTTGAGAATTATATTTAATATGGTAAGGTTCTGTAAAAGGACTTTACATGGAATGTTGGGTTTTAAAATGTCTTGGATAAAGATAGCACGAATGTCATCAAGGCCTCCAGAAGAGTCTTTTTTAAAAAATCTAACTGCTTCGTCGAGGTTGATATAAGGAGCTAAATAATTGTTTTGGCTTGAGTAAACAAATTCTGAATCACATGTAGGGTTTTTAGAAACAAAGCTTCTAGAGTGGAGTCGTTGTTAGGAGCTAGAGAGTCTTCGGAAGTCATAGCGCGAAGAGCTGAGTTTATTTTTTTTAAAAATATTTATAAGGGTGTGGATTAGTTTATAAAATAATAATATACCCATTGATAAAAAACAATAACCAAACTATTTTTACTACATTAGATCGTGCTCAAGAGAATTAAATTCAATAACCTTCGAAACTTTATTGAAAATTAAATAAGTTATTTTTAATAAATATAGATAAAATCGGTAGTTTTGTGAGCCATAATTACCATTGGTTATCTTTTATTTATTTATCTGTCATATGATTGGTTAAGTTTTATTATTTATTTTTTTTAAATTTTGTTGAATGATATTTTTATTATCGAAAACCATTGGCTGTTAATTTTTACCCAATGGTTGTTAATTTTTACACATATTTTTTTTAAAATGAATTATTTAAATTTTAATATTTAAAAAAATAAATTTTTTAAATATTAATTATTTTTTTGATAGTGGAAATAAATGTTTAAAATATTTATTTGAAAATAATATTTTTTTTCCTGGATCAGGTTGATAGAAGCATAAATACTCAGTCCATAGAGCGTCTTTGGGGCGACCTCAAAACAAAATATGTTAAATCTGGGAGGTCCCAAGGAAGAGTTTTTCATTCCAATAACAACTCCCAAGAACTCGCAGAAGAGTTTTTAAATCCTGCTTTTAAAAGTAGTGAACTACCGCTATTGCTACTCATCAAAAAAGTAGCTCGCTTTTAAAAGTAACTTTGGCTACTTTTTATAAAAAAAATTAGAAATAAATTCGATTTATTTTTTGCTTATAATGTAATTGCGTAATTTATAGTATATAAAATTCACAAATATAGTTAGTTTTGATTATAAATAAATTTATGTAAAAAGACTATAATTTATGTAATAAAAATATCTATTTATGGTAATATTCATTTTTAATTTATTTTCTTTCATTTTAATAAAAAAATTATTTCTTTACTATCATCCCCAGATCTGAAAGTATAAGTTTCGCCTTATTAAATAATTCTCAACACTAGCACTTGAAGACATGGCAGTATTTAATTTTATATACATATTTTAGTGTCTGGCTACAAAAAATTGTTGTACCAGGGGATAGAGTTTTAATCATCATGGTAAATTGTGGATTATCAAAAAGTGACATTGGCTGAACTGTATCAATTAGGATATATAAATAAAATTCAACCAATCATAAAACAGAAACTAATGGTTATTATGGCTCACCCATAATCTTACCGAAAAAATGCTTATTTTTAAAATAGTTTTATATTTAAAAAAAATATAATATTGTCAAAAAATGATTATCCAATGATGAATATGAAAAATTGTGCCTCATTTGGATAGCGAGTTTCAAACCTATTTCAAAAATTTTATTTCTAATTTATATGATACTTGTTCTCCATTTTTAATTTCCACAAGCTGGAAACCGAATTTAGGTAGTGTTTGAGGATAGTGAATTTGTGAATAATATCAATAAAGTACTAGAATTTTTATTATATACCAAATTGATGAAAATATTAGAGTTTTTTGAATTTACCTTTGATAATCATAAGTGTAGAGTGGAGATTTTTATCTTTAAAGATTTGTTGGAAACAGTTGAATCATACTCAATTCTAATCTATCATCGATTTTTATGGAATTTTTTTTAAAATCTAACAATAGCTTTTATAATTCGCTTTAAAAGAAGTTTCCCTATTAGTAAATTGAGGCTTAATCATTTTAAATTTAGAAAATAATTATACAAGGACAATGAATGCAATATATAAATTATTTTAAAAAGTATCTTGAAAAATTACATCTTTACATTTCAAAAAATGCAAGTAATTTTTTTGTTAGTTTCTTTAACAACAGTAACTGAGGCTAATGCAATACATTTGCAGTAAAATTTCGCGATATACCATTAGCCACTATAATTTGATTCGTTGAATATTCGATTCGAGAGATAAATTGTTTAAAATACTTAAAATGAAAGGTAAATTTTTAAAAAAATGTTGAATAATGCAAAATGCTATTATTGACGAATAATTTTTTCATGCCATAAAACGAATACATGATACGGTTAAAATATTTATTTATTTTTTTTACATTAAGAAATTAATGTAGATGATAAAAAGACTTGTGATTTATTAGATGACAATTCTAATTTAACGACAATTTGTTCTCAGCCAAATGAATCTTTAGATATTTACGCATCAAATGACAATGTTATATTGCATCATAATTTATCAGGTTTTTAGATTACTTATTGACTTCTATTTAATCGCTCAAACTGAAATGCTCAGAAGAAAATTATTATTAGCCCATTAAGTATCAATTTTAAAAATAAGTTGCATTTTATATGCTATGTAACTTATAGTATTATATCTCAAAAAGTTTATATAATTTTTCCAATTTTTTTTAAAAATAACACGATTTTTTCGGCCTGTCCCCTTTAGTTTCTTTTAAATTTTATGTTAATAGTACCCATAATAACTAAGAAAAATTTTAGATTTCAAAACTCCAGGGCCTGAAATATGGGCACTCAAAATGCAATATTTTATTAATTTCAATGCTAATATCTTTGGATTGTTGAGTAGTATATTTATTCAAATATATTCCAGTAACTTAATAGTATTATATATATATTTATTTAATTAATGAAAAAAATATTAGGGACAGATCCCGGAAATGAGCATAAAATGAAATCGATACTTTCTTCCAGACGGTTCTGGTTCGATTTAAGGTAAAAAAAAGGTCGGTTCGGATTCGATTCAGGAAAATATTTTTGAACCCCGGATTCAGCTCGGGTTTAAGAATTTTTGAATTGATAAAAAAAAATTCTCTATTTAAATCTTAATTAAAAAACTAGACATAAATTTGGTATAAAAAATAAATTTTTTAATTTATTTATAAGTAAAATATAGTTAAAAATACAATGCATAGTCATGTATTTATATTAAAAATTTATTTAGACGTAATTAGCATAATACCTTCCAAGAGTCACTCTTTTCGATCTATGTGATGAAAGAACGAATTTCGAATGTGAAAAAGATCTTTCAACGCTAACCTAAATATATTTATGTGAAAATATGATAAATTAACTTGGGTTCAGGAACAGCAAATAAGATTTTGGATTAAATCAGGGTGCTTTAGCTTAGACTCCCTAAAATGCAAAATATTTTCCTTCTTATCTAGTCTTTTAAAATCGCTAATATCAATTTTAGATTATCTTCTTGTTCAAATCATCGGAACTAATATCATCAGATAAAATCGACATTGGTATGCTTTTAATCCAACTCCATAAATTGATAAGATGCTTTTTCGCACAAATCTTATCATCATCATCATTAGTAATACCTGTAATATTTAAGGATTTATAATGTATTTAAATAAATAGCAATTTTATAAAATAACAATTTAATATAAATCCAAAATAATTAATTTACTAAACTTTTAATTAACTTTATATCTTGGGTCCAGGTATATGGCAGCTAAGAGAATTTCATTCTTTATAAACTTTTCTTCTCTGTTCTTAAGACAAGAATATAGGAACTGAGAAAACCGGTTTGAATTTTTTTTCTACTTCATAGCATCATAACCATTCTGCATAAAAATCTGTGTTAACTGTTCAAATTGGAATCATTTGGTTACGATTTTTATTGGTTTTAAATTTCAACAATCATTATTACCTCTTTCCAATCTTCAATCAATGAATAATCAGATTGCCCTGAAACGAAATCTTCCATTATTGGGTTTGAATAAAATCAGCCTTTCTAGCATATCATGGGTTGAATGCTATCGGTGACAATCTAACACAGTCTTAGGGAGTTTCATATTTTTCAATAACCTTTAATAAGTGGGATGTCTTTATTTTAATTTTAAGCTCCTAGCTTTTGCAAGGGTATCCACAGGTGATAATTTTATTGCATCTTGAAGTGTATGAGCCGCACAACGTACACTATACATTGGATAGGATAAATAGTTGATAAAAAAGTATTCTGACATCGATATCATATTTATATACATTCACATCCATATTTTCATCATCTGCTGATTCACCCCTTATATCATAATCAATTTCAGGCTGCAAGAGCTTTATAGCTTTGATAAAATTTTCACCATTGTCAAAAGTAATAGTGTATATTTGGTTAATATTAATTTAAATTTGTGTAAAGTTTTTAGCATATTCTCTTTTATATATTCTCCTGTACTTCTTTCTTTCAGCTCTACAATTCCAAGTGTTCTTGAAATTATATTAGACTTTGATATAATTGAATAATTATACCAAGAATTGACCTGTCTAGTTGTTGAACTGCATCAACTTTTAAACTTATTGGTTTTCCTTTTACCTCTCTTGATATTTTGTCTAATGGATTGGTCTGTTCTATTAATAGTGCGGGATAAATATTCTTTGTTAATAACTAAATTGAGCCCAGATGAAAGCGGATTTATGATTCCTTGAAATCCCGAATCTTCAATAATTGATAGAGGCCTACCATTTACATTAACTAGTTCTATGATAAAACTCATCAAATCATTAGATGTTAAATTTATACTAATAAATTTTTTGAAAATAGGTTTCTATATTAATTTTGAGTTTTTTTGCAATAACATTTCCTGATATTTTGTTTTTCCATTCAAATAATTTAGATATTCATTTTTGTGATTTCTCTCCAGATGTCTTTCTAAATTTGGCAAATGATTACCAGACATTTTTTAATTTGCAATATGAGCACACTGATTTATTTTCTATTGTATCAAGAATAAAATGATGAATTGAGGAACATTTATTAAACTTTCAAATAAAAGAGCTAACGAGAAAAAATTTTTAAATAGCAAATTTCATTAAAAAACAGAAAATATGCACTTCATTAATATATGGTAAAAATTATTCTGAACAAGAAATAAATTATTAGATATAAATTATAAAATGATTTAATAAGTTTACTAAAACTGCCCTACATCTTTGTTTAACAATTTTTAAGTTAAATTTTGAGAATTCTTTTTAACAATATCCAATATAATAATTTTTACTTTGACTTGTTCACTTTTATTTTCCTCTAATTAATGATCTTGAGAATACGTGTTTCTAAGCGCACTAGCACTAAACGTCATATATATACCAGAGATATATATATATACAAAAAAGCAACGCTTGGTTCTCTCATGAAAAGCCCATCAAACTGGGATAAAAGATGGCTATAATTAAAAGGACCATTCACATTTTTTTGAAGGAGGCCGCAGTTACCTGTGCACGCAAGAGGCAAAGTCTCTTACTTAAACGCGCATGGGAAATGAGAGGAGAGATAAAAACTTATGCCTAATTAAATAAAAAATTTGATTATCAGAGGGTTATTTTAGGGTAATTCCATGACAAATCGACCAGCGATTCGGCCGACCTTTTCAAAAATAAATGAAACTTAGCATCTTAGTTATTTCTGTTGTAAATGTTAAAAAAATCAAAATTTTAGAGTACTAGCTCTCTCAACCAGATCCAAAGATATACGCCTTCAAAGTCGAAAATCGCGAAGTGCATGATTTCATTAAATCTTGTTATTTTAAAAAATACTTAAGATAGAGTTATAAATTATATATCATTTTATAGCCCTTAAAATTTTACGTTGGAAAATAAAAAAAAATTAAAAAATTTCAAGTGTTTTCTTATTTCCGGTAAAAATAAAAAATTAACATTGTTAGAAAGGGATTTTTTTTGGGTGTTAATATTCACTAAAAATGTTTATTATCTTTATATTAAACGATTTAATAAAAAATCTTGATAACCATTTTTGTTTTTTTAATTTTATTTAAATTTTTATAAATAAAAAAATGTAATATAGATGGCATGTTAAATTTTTTTTATAATATATAATTTTTAATAAAAATATGAATAGTATTGTGATTAAAATTAAAAAATCAATTGAGTATAACCAAGAATGATGTCCTGGGGCAATATGTAAGCAGGCAGCCCATACAGATATAATTTTATTAGGACGCTCTATTGTAAAATAAACATATTTTAAAATTTTATACACAAACAATATAAAAATAAATATCTAATCTTATCCCATTTTATACCTTATTAATAGATTTCTTGAGACGATAATTTGTAGGTACGTCCTGTCACTGTAATAGGATCTACTATTGTTATTATTTGATTAATGGTTAACCATATCTTTTCCGCAATTGTGGGGTAAAAGAAGAATGGGGATGTAAAAATGAAATATATATCTCCTCGGTAATTTCATTCTTTTTTAGTACTGTGGCTAACCACCAAAAATCGTCAACACATGTTACGAATCCTTTAATATCGGCAAAAGACAAATTATCGGCTTGAGATATGTTAATTTGAAAGTCCTCTGCATATGAATATATTTTTGATTTAAGTTTACTTAAACTCAAAGGAAATACAGCATGTATTTCCCGAGTTCTTGGAATGGGACGAGCTTAATTGAATCTTTCTCGTAGTTTAATCTCATTGTATTGTTCGTTGGTTATTATGGCATGTTTTGTTTTGCAAATTGATATAAATTAACTGGCGTTAAAATGTGTCCAGAACTGATGCGCTGAAGGCTTGAACGTGCTGCTAATCTTTTTTAAGTTCCGCCAAGGCCGTCACATGGACCTTTTCCATGAAATGTAGCTGAAAAATGCCATTCAGCTGCTACACCAAAATCTGATTCATGATAACACAGATTTATAAAAAAATTTCTGTTTATATATTGCTCAGCTGATCCGTCAGAGCAGTAAAATATTTATTTGGCTTTTTGCTGAATTGATTGATCAAAAATGTTATCATTTTAGTCTGGTATAAATGTACTGCAATAAGATTATGTTGAAGTGACTCTGATATTACCAAATAATTAAAGTTTTCTATATTGCCATATTATAATATGCTATCATAGGATGGATAGTGGCTTGATTATTATTCCACTGAAATCCTTGAACAGCGTCTTGGATTATAAATGCATAATTTTTAGAGAAATAACAAATTATCATAAATTCATTTGGTTGTAAAAAATCTTGTTTTGAAATATATGATGATTGATTGGTAGCGATGATAGGAATAAAAAAATAAAATAAGCAGATAAAATCGTTATTTTCAAATAATAATGATAGTAGATCCACAACAATAGGATATATCTACAAATTATGGCCTTAGGAATTTCTATTAATAAGCGCAAAATTATAATAGTTTGAATATAAAATTTTAAAATATGTTTATTTTACAATATAGCGTTAATAAATATGGGCTGCCTGCTCACATATCGCCTCAGGACATCATTCTTGGTTATACTCAATTGATTTTTTAATTTTAATCACAATACTATTCATATTTTTAATAAAAATTATATTATAAAAAAATTATAGTATAACGCCATCTATATTATATTTATTTATAAAAATTAAAATAAAATTAAAAAAACAAAAATGGCTATCGAGATTTTTTATTAAATCGTTTAATATAAAGGTAATAAACATTTTTAATGAATATTAACACCCAAAAAAAATCCCTTCCTAACAATGTTAATTTTTTATTTTTACCGAAAATAAGAAAACACTTGAAATTTTTTAATTGTCTTTAAATATTTCCCAACGTAAAATTTTAAGGGCTATAAAATGATATATAATTTGTAACTCTATCTTAAGTATTTTTTAAAATAACAAGATTTACTGAAATCACGCACTTTGCGATTTTCGACTTTGAAGGCATATTTCTTTGGATCTGGTTTAGTTAGCACTCTAAAATTTTTATTCATCATCTAGCATAAATAACTAACATGCCAAGTTTCATTCATTTTTGAGATGGTCGGCCGAAAATCTCGTTTTTTTGGTCGATTTGACGTGGAATCACCCTTTGACTATATTAATTTTACTATTAATTAGTATGCGAGAAAACCTATAAATAATCATAATTAAATAAAATAAATACAGTACTATCACTTATTCTTTTAAAAGATTATTGATTTACAAAAAATAAATTAACTTCATTTTTCAGCTGGGAGGATAGAAGTGAATCTTTGAGAATAAGTTAAAAATAAATGGCAAATGAAATTAATTGTTTAAAATTTATTAACACTCCATTTAATTGGCAATTTGAAAATATTATAAAATCTCAATTAAATTATTAATATTTGTATTTACAATTATACAAATATCTTAAAACTACATTAAACCCGGTTGAACCCTGGTTCAGATAAATTCCCGGATGTTCGGGGTTTTGAAAATTTTATCGTTTGGGTTCAGATTTTTTCTTCAAAACCCAGGTTTTCTTCTTCGGGTTCGGTTCGCTTTGATTTTTTTATAAAATAGATCTTAGATCAAGGTACATATATAAATATCCTAAATTACTAAAATTAAAGCCCTCTAATGTTTAAATTTACATATTCACAATAAATAAAATTTAAATATCTGATAATGATTGAAACATTTAGTAAATTGAGTGAAAGGATTTCACTGAACTAATTTTTTTATTATATATGTAAAAATAATTAAACGAATTTAAAAAGTAGAGACTGTGTTTTTCTAATCTAAAATACTGTCAGCCGTTGAAAAATTGCCCTCACTTTTTGGTGAATAAGCACATACAGCAAATATTTTCGCTACTCTCCATTGACTCGACGATTTTTTAACTTTTTTTTGTAGTCTCGATTTGATTTTAGATTCATTTCAGGTATTTTCCTTATATTCAAATAAATTTTTACATAATATTAAAGAGCCATTTATTTCTAAGTATATTCCAGCTTAACATCCAGAGATATTTGCATTTTATAAATTTTGAACCTTGAACGCCCATATTCAGCCACTGAGTGATGGAGGTTGAAAATGCGTAATATCAATTACATTTCTTCTTAGAAATCTCAGGGAGTCAAACCGAGAGACCCCTTGTTATTTGTCATTGAATTTACCATATATGTATATTCCTCTAAAATTTCAAATCTTATTATTAAATAATTTTTGTATTTATAGGTTATTTTTAAAAATAGAAATCTCCAGTGACAATAAATTTTAATAATTTAAGATTTATAAATTTATGGTTTTTTTTAGAATAATAAGATAATTTGGATGGTAATAACGTAGAAATTGACCATTAAATCATCATTTTGATGCATACCTTTAAAAAATATTGAAATAAAATTTTAGAAAAAGTTGCCATATTTAATCCCCTCACCGCATAATTTAGATCCGAAGATTTTATAAGGTCCATGCCAAAATATTTTGTTTTAAAAGTTTTTATAAATTTGACTTTTACCTTATGATTTAATATACTGATACGTAGTGATACAAATTTCTACATTTGAGTCAATTTTTAAAAATGGCTAACTCAGTATTTTGTCCAGAAAAACATCAGCTTGAAAATTTTCGATGGCATAAAGGTTTGGACATCCATTAGCGAAATCTCCAGGCTTAAGCAATATTTATCTGGCTAAAATATTGGGTTAGTCGTTTTAAAAATGGGCTCAAATGCAGCGATTTTTCATCACTAGTGACGTGAGATCTTTTAATTTTGTGAAACACGTCGAGATAATGTGTTAGAATTTTTTTCTCCCCTCCCTTCCTTCGAGTAACAATGTAAACGATCTATTTACAAATATTTTAGCATTCGCTTCTCCATTCAGACAGAAAATAATAACGATGAATTCAAAATGTCTTTTTACTAGCTTTCACTTAATAAATATCCTTGTCGATATTTTTTGAATATATTTTCAATCCCCTACCCTTGCCGTATCCTAGATTGACAATAAACCCTTTCAAAAATATTTTTATTAGCTTTCATTTGATACCCTGTTGAGATATATTTTAATTCTGAGCGTTTCAATTTTTATCTAAACAAATAATATAAGTTTTACCTTTTTTTACTAACAAATTAATGTGAAATTTGTAATTTTAGAGGATAATAGTGATTTATTGAAAATGTGTTCTCATAGTGAGAAATTAGCTATAGAAAATGACAGTTTCCTCAAAAATATCAATTCATACCTCTCAAACAATTTATATAACAATACGGCACTGTCATATTTTCAAGACTTGAAATTTTCTGATAAATTTCAATATCTGATTACTTTTCAAGCAAAATGGAGACGCAATAGATACAATCAAAATTTTTTATTGACATCTGAAAATCCAAATTACAAATTGAAAAACATTATATTTTCACAAGTATATAGATATATAAGGTTATAATAGTTTAAATATTTTTTATGTAGATATCAAAAGAAAAAAATAACTTTAATTTTAGAAATAACGAACTTGAATTTCAAGATTTATGGCAATTATTAGATATTGTATAATATTTTCAAACATTAATATTATTAATAAAATAATCATTTCTTGATTCCAACTAATTTAATAAGACCTTCAGTTGTCAATGACTTTGGCCTTTCTAGTGGAAATCCTAAAGCTCGATCCCATGTTAAAGAGGCTAAGACTCCCAATGCACGTGAAACTCCAAATAAAACTGTGTAAAAGTTCATTTCCTTTAAACCATAATGCTATATAAAACAATAATAATTGGAACGTTAAATTCAATTTTACATATAACAAAACTCCACTGTGCGCATCAACATTTGGCCAAGGATTCTTAGCCTTTCCATGCTTCAATAATATATTTGGGGCTATCTCATAAAGCTTGAAAATTATATTTAAAGATTTAATTTTAAAATTCATACCTGAGAGACTAATTTAAATAAGGGATCATCTGGCAAATGCTTCATAGCAAATTCCCGCTGACATAAATACCGTGGATCGGTTGCTCTTAATACAGCATGCCCGTAACCTGGTATTACCTATACTTCATAAGATTAGTTTGCTTATAAAAAAAATACTTGTCCCATTTCCAAGGTCTTCCATATAAATTTTTCTAAATCATCTTTTGTTGACTTGGCCCCTATTTCTTTTTGCAATTTCGTTATCCATATTAATACTTCCTTATCATTTAAAAGATATAATTGATGCAATATTTTAATTAACTTGATTTGCCAATCCATGCAAAGGACCTGCTAGCCCATTCATAGCTGCTGCGAATGAAAGATATGGATCTGATAAAGCTGATCCAACTAAATGACATGCATGAGCACTCACATTACCTCCTTCATGATCACTAATTAAAATTTTGTATTAAGTTATATTTAATATAATTACGCATGAATACAGAGGTATAATCTCATCAATTCAGTGAAACTTATGTCCTCATAACCTAGCATAGATGTAAAATTATGACTCCAATCCTTTTCCAAATCAATAGCACCAGGCGATGTACCTTCTCTGTAAATATTTCGATAAATAATGGATGCTAATGTTGGTAGCTTAGCTATCAAATTCATTGAATCTTCGTATGCATACTAAAAGATTTTAGTCAAAATTTTATATTAATAAACCTCCCAATATTTTGATTTAGAAACGCCAGTTTGATAAGCCTCAACAAATTTACTTTCAGTGTTTAATGCTGTAATAGCGGCACTAAATTGAGACATTGGATGCATTTTGGCTGGGAAATTATTAAGCATAGTAACAACATGCGATGGGATTTCAGCTCGTAAAGCCCATTCCCTTGAGACGGATTTAACCTATTTAAATTAATTTAAAAAGCTTTTAATTATTTTTTAATAATAGTTTTAAAAAAATATATAATAAAAAAGTAGCTATTTAATGGTAGTTTTATATTAAAATATGTTTTAATAGCTATAATGACTCGAATTCAGCTCATGTAAAAATAAAAACTTATAAGAAATTAAAAATCGAATCAATGAAGGTAATTCCCCATTAGATCCTACAAAATAATTCCTAAAATAAAAATTTTGAAAAAATCAACAAAATAAAATTACTGGAAAATATTTTCTTGGAAATAAATTCTCCATATATTATAAACAATTAATTGGTTAATATTAATAACACCATAGGTGGGACTATGCCCAGTCATTTAAAAAAATATATTACTCAAAACTCTTTCTATAGTTATGTCTAAATCTTTCATTAGCTTAATATTTTTAGGTAAAAAATACATATATATATATGCAAAAAATTTTGATTTTGTTTGGTATTTCATGATTATAATAGTTGTATGTTAAGCATAAATAAATACCTTTTTATACATCATTTTAATTAAAAATTATTATTAATATTTGACCCTTAGATAAACATTCAACAACCTCAATTTTTTTATATCACATAGAATAATTTGTCACTTTTAACATTTAATTATTTAATATATTTTAAAATATAAAAGCTGCAAATAAATTAATTCTAAGACATAGCATATCTAAATTGGGGTCCTATTCCTACCCTAAATTACCTACTGGAGACCCAGTTTCTGTGATATTAAGCAAAATAGTTCATAAGCTATCAATTTACAATGGCCTGGCATGGATTTTTAAAATCATACCATTTTTTAGCCGGACCGGCAGGTCTCTGAAATATGTTTTTTGAATTCAAATTCTCTTGAAATTTTAAGGTTTTAAATAATTAAATAAATCTTTATTATAGAACAAATTTATTTATAAGAAAAATCCTCATAAGTATTTTTTAATTTATTTTTAACTAAAAATTTTATACAATTTTCCAAGAAGCTTTTAAAAATATATTTAAAATATCAAATTGAGAGATTTTAACCAGTAATACTAAAATTTAATTATAAGAAAACAATACAATTTAGAAAATAATATTCGTTTTTTAAATTTTATAGCGAATTCATATCTTTTTTAAATCTAGATGTTAAGTAAAATACAGATTTTTTAATCCATAAATTTGACATTACAACTTGCATTTAATAAAACTAGTTTACCCTATGATTTTGGTCATGAGTAATTCTATACATAATGATAATTTTTTGACTGGACCTTTTTAATTTTGATAAAATTTTGCATATTGATAGAAAGCATTCAATCCATAATTTTCATATACTAATAATTTCGGAGATATAAATAGCTAAAAATTTCAAAAAATAACTATTTTAAAAAAAATACACTTTTAAAATTGAGATAAATCAAGAAATAATCATTTTGTAAAAAGGCCTTTTATTAAATATTAAGGATTTTTATAAAATAATTTTTAATTTAGCACAGCCAAGGGTTTTTTAGTTATTAAATTTTTTTTTAAAATGAATATTTTTCAGGCGCTCAAAATAACGCATTTTTGTATTTTTTTCATATCACAAAAAACCTTGAAAATATAAATTCTGACAACGAATATGAAATTAATAATATCACCTCAGCATCCATATATAAACAATAAATATTACTTTAAATGAAATTGGATTAGAATCATATTAAGAAAAAAACTTACTGAAAAAATGATCCAAAAAAAGATAATTAAAATTTCAAAAGCTATTTCAGAATAATAATTAAAAATCCATAATAGAGTTGCCATGGTAAGCTTACAAATACCTAATATCAAATAATTATACCTGTACAATTAAATAGGCTGTAGAGCCTAGAGAAGGTACAATCTATTCTTATGCCACTATACCAGAGTGTAAGTCAGAAGAAATAATGCTAATTTAGCAAATTTATCCCAATATCTGGGACATCTAATGGGCAACTAAGCGCAATATTAAAATATAATCCAATTCACAGACGTTTGTTGTGAGAATAGTCAGGATCTGTTAATCTGTGAAATTAGAGGATATGTGACCTGTATGTAAGAAAACCATGGAAAATCTTATTCTTGATAAAAATGGGAAAAATTTTTAAAAAATAATAATTTTAAGAAAAATACGTTATTTTGCTAGAAATATTCATTTATTTTTTAAGATCGTAATAACTAAAAAATACATGGCTGTCTCAAGTTCAAATTTTTTTTATATATAGATATATTATAGGTGAATAAAAAATGATTAAATTCAAGGAAATTCGGAAAGCGAAACATCTGGTGTATTTATAAAATATATAACATAAATAAAGACCGCAAAATTATCAGCAAAACATCTGGTGTTTTTCAATAATATAAAATAAATAAAAACAGCAAAATTATTATTTTATAATAAAATATTTAATAAAAGGCCTTTTATAGAGTTACAAAATGACTTAAAATTTTTATTTTTGGATTTTAACTTATCTCAATTTTTAAAAATCGTATTTATAGAAAAGGTCATTTTTGACACTTTTGCCCATTAATATCACAATTTTGGATTCTATGCTTTCTAATGATGATCTCTCAGTATGCAAAATTTTATAAAAATTAGGGCATTATCGATTTGTCTTTTTCTTTCCAATTATATCTATCCATTATCATAATTACCTTCGGGAAACTTGCCTTATCCTTTTTCAAAGATTTAGGATCTCATATTTGCAAGCTCACTGACGATCCTAAGAAAACTTCTTCTTAAGATAGAGGCTGAATATAGTTGCCTTAAAGATAACTATATAAACTTCAACGGCAGTCTTCGTTCCAGGTAGCCTTCATAGGCTTACCCTTCTTTCCTTTTTTCTTCCCCTTTTTATGCTATATTTCTTCTCAATTTTTTAGATTAATCGTCTTTTGTTGCTATATTGTTTACATTCCAACGTAATCCTCTAATTGCTTTAATTAATTCAATTTATATCTGTTTTGAAAAAAGATATCAAAAACAATAGAAAACAGATATTCTTAAAATTTATAATCCCTATGATAAAAAAATTTACATAAAATATAATAAAAATGTTTTTTTAAAAAAATTATAAAAAAAAACAATTCATGAACCCTAAATTTAAAAAAAGGATTCGGATTCAGTAAAATCTTGAGGGTTCGGACTCTAGGCCCAGATTTTAACTGAAGTTTTTCACAATTGCCTTCAAAAATGATTGGCCATTCGTACTTTTTTCAATCAGCTGGAAAATAATGATTCGTTTAACATTAATTATATAATAAAAAATTCTATTTTTAAATTGTGTTGCTGATCCGTCAAAGCAGTATTATATTTCTTGGCTTTCTATAGAATAGATTGGTTAAAAATTTCATCATTTCAGCCTGATATAAATGTACCCTAATAATATCATGTTGAAGTAACTCTGATATTACCACATAATTATGATTTTCTATATTGCACTTATTATAATAGGATGTGGATTAATTATTATTCCAGTAGTATTCTTAAACAGGATCTTGGATTAGAAAAACATAATTTGTAGAAAAATCAGATTATCATAAATTCATTTTGTTGTATTTAAATTTGTAAAGATATGATGACTGGTTGGTAAATCTGAAGGAATGACGTAACAAAGGTGGATTTTTTTCTAAAATAAATTATAAATTCTTGGGAAGATTTTATAATTGTTTCAAAATTTTTCTTTCAATAGATACCCACTGTGTAAGGGATATATGATCTATGTCCTTTTGAACAAATACATCACATAATAATATTATTGAAAATGTGTTTGGATAATAGTTACAATCTCCTAAATAACAAATAGTGACTTCTGGATGCATATAGGATGGGCTAAAATATTTTTATAATTATAATGGATATTCCAGCTTAGTTAATAGTTTTGCCAAATTAACATCTATAAACACAAGCTTAATATTTTTATGAAAATAAGACACCCTATGTTCCATTGAATCAGACCACAATTTTTTGGTCCTAAATCTGTAAATTTAGTTCCTTAAATAATTATTGATTTATAGTTTTTCTTTCTGGGCATTGCACGACTAACTTCATCAGAAGAGTAAAAAATTCCTGTTAATTTACGGTTACCCTATCAATTGTTATATTGGGGGATAACATATATCCTTTTAATTCTATTCGTTTTTTAAGATTTTCTCACCAAATAATTCGTAGCTTTGAACTCCATTCAATTTTTTCGGAAGTCCATTAAGGGGGCAATATAGTAAAAAGTTAATTTTTTTTCTTTGAATTAATTTGATAATTATATTTTAAATTTTGAAGATGTTCGCCATTTTTATTATTTTGTATATCATGCTCAGGAAGGCTGCTTCTTAATATACTTTGTAATGCTTTCATTATTTTTTTTAGTTATATTTAAACTTTTTATGATATATAAAAAATTTTTTAGTCTTTACTTACCTATGCAAAATGAGCTAGGGAAATATAATGTAAGTAAAAATTGGTGGCTATATTTTTTATATGGTTTCAAAGAGGAATTTAATATATTAAAGGAAAATGAATGTTTAAATAATCCATTAAGGGTTATTCCAAGTAAAATCGATCAGGATTTATGGACCTCTTTCAAATCGAATGAAGCATGATTGTATATCGTCGTGTGAGTATTAGTGGTCTATGCCCACTTTATGCCAAAATTGATTTTTTTAAATAAATAAGTTCTTCATCACTATCTCTTATGGGCCATTCCTTGTCAAATTGATCACGATTCGGTTGACCTCTTTTAAAATTGTTAAAAATATCTGGAATTATTTAGACAGGTAAAAAATGAGATAGCCGTTTATTATAGCTCGCTAGTACACCTGATTCCCGATATACGGGGCTTATTTTCCTTAGAATAAACAAAAAACTCTTTATAACAGTCTGAAGCAGGTCTTTGTAAACTAGCCCTTGCCACTACGTTAGACTGTACCTCCGACTCCATCACATGCCGATTTCCCATGAGATGTGGTCCAAAATGCCACTCAGCTTTTATTCCGAATTCATCTTCATGGTGGCAAAGATTGATTATATTTCTTGATGCTGATCCATCAGAAAAGTGGAAGAATTTTTTGGGCGGCTTTAAATTTCTGTTAAGTAGAGGACCAAATATTTTTGTAATAAAAAATGAATGGCAATTTATTATTGAGAGATTCAGATTCTGAAAAAAATGAATAACTTAAATGTCTTGTAATTAATCAAAAAGGATGATTGCAACTTGCCCTTTATTCAAGTTAAATCCTTGTACTTAATCTTGAATTACATAGGCATAATTTTCTGCAAAATATATCTGAACGATACATTCTCCTTCATTTAAAATCATTTTAATAGAATCCATGCCTTAAAAGGTTTTTGAGATATAAACAATTTAAAAATTGCTTCTTTAAGGATCTGTATCTTGGAAAATAAGTGTACTAGCGAGCTAGAATAAACGTCTTTCTTATTTTATTTATCGATCTAAATAATTCCAGCAATTTTTAACAATTTTAAAAGGGGTCCGCTTAAAATGGGATTTTGATTAGTATAAATAATAATATCTTATTGGTAATTTAGCAAAAATTGTATATAGCGATATCCATTTTATGCCAATGGAAATGTCAATTTTAGATATATATACATATTTCAGAGAGCTGATAGCGTCGCCAAAGTTTTCACATTGTATATATATATTTATAAATGATGTCTTAATAAAAGGCAATTTTTTTTTAGAAAACCAATTCCCTTTATTGCTTAAAAACACAGGTAAAGCAATATAGTCAAACCGAAAAAGACTCAACTCAAATTGACGCCAACTTTTCCTTATGATAAACATCTAGAGATTATTTAACCAACACATTGTTATATTATATTTATTTTTATTATAGTTTTTAAGAAATAAGCATTTTAAAATTTGAAAGTCACTATTTTTCATACCTTTAAACCCTATATCTCGGAAATCAGGTGAGCTAGCGAGCTAAAATAAATGGCTTTCTCATTTTTTTTACTATCTAAACAATTCTATAAATTTTTAACAATTTTATAAGGGGTCGACTGATTAAAATTAGGTATGTGATCTAATAAAGGGCATTTTTAAATATTATATTTTTTAATTCCTTATAATTTTAATAAATTTATGGTAAATATAACTTATATGGAAGCCAGGTTATAAAATAAATTGTTTATATAATTCTAATGAATGAAATTCTATAATTAAATAAATGAGTATAATAATATTAAATTCCTTATTAATTTATTTTAGTATTGTTACTCTAGGAAATGATTATTTGTTTCATATTGAGATGAATAAATAATATTATTATATTTTATGATTAAATTATAATATTTATTTAAGTATTGTGCTGAAAGCATATCATTGTAAGAAGACTAACTTTATATGTTAAATTTATAGAGATAAGTATTTTTTAACTTATTTAAGTTTAATGACCAACTTAATATTTATAACACTAACCAAAATAGAAATTCTGATTATTGGATCAGAAAAATTTATGTCAAGTGAATCATACTTTAGTAGAAAAGGAGAATTAAAAGAAGGCCATTCTATCTGAATATTATCAGCAATATAAGATTTGCAATCTAATTTTAAAATGTTCAATATATTTTACTGAAAATAACAGAAACAATACACCAGATTTTTTGTCATTACCAAAGGAAAAGAGAGTAGATTTTTAAGATCTAAATGTAATTAGAGTAGAAAAAAAAATAAACAGGACCAAAACCAATAATTCCCCATAATTATTCACTTATAAATATTTCTTACATAATTATACCAAAATAAGAGTTTGTAATGTATTTATCCGATCAACACTTGTTATATCACTAACTTTTTCATAATAAAAGAAATGTCAAAGGTTCCAATAGAATATAAAAAAGAGAAAAGGTTATGACTTGAAGACCATGTTAAAATATTTCCCCATTTCTGATAAAAATTAACCTTCACCTTTTCCTGTAATGAAAAAATAATAATTATTTTTAAGAAAGTGATTGAATGACCACCTAACTATCATTTATATTTTTGAATAATATTATTTATTAGTTTTTCCAAATTAGGAAGAATACCATTTTTTTAGCTTTGACCTGCATATCTCTGGAACTAATTGAGTAAGAGCTTAAAAAATTAAATAAATCTTCACAACATATATAATCATTATGCAAAGTTTCATTCAATTTGAAAGAGGACACAATATTACCCTAGATTCAAATTGGTTAATATGATTAATATATTTCAATTAATCCATCAAGGTTAAAATTTTTAAGCCAAGTGCTTAGTAATGTATAGTATTCAGAGCTCTAGATGAGTGAATTTAGTATTTAATAATGTTGTTAAATGATTTATATAATAAAATTTATATATTGTCATTTACAAATAATATTTAGCATTATGAGAAAACAAAAGGTTCTTAATTTGAAATGTTATATAAACTTGATTTTGAGTGGGAATTTCACCAGTCATAAGTAACCAGAAGAGACCTTCGGGTAATGGCTCATGTCCATTTGGTTTTACTTTTGGTAATTTGGTACGTAGTTCAGGAATAGTATATCCTCTAAATTTGATACCTGAATCTGGATCAAGTTCTGAAGTTTCAGTAACCAAACCTTTTATACCTCGCATTCCTCCATATATCTATTGAACATGTAATTCGTATAGTAAAAATAAAATACCATATCTATGGTTATGTCACCAATTTTTTTCTGACCATGTTGCTTTTTAAAATCATTAACTAATTTCAAGTGCTGAGGAATTTTTTGCGATAACACATCTTTAAGATTCTATAGTTTAAATTATATTCATTTTTGTAAAATAATTCCACCTCATATTTATTTGGGGATGATTGTGAATAAGTTCTATTGCCTGTTAAAATCTAAAAATAAAATTAATTTAAATACTCTATTAAATAAATTACAATTTTTTTAACAAATACATAACGAAATCCTTTAAAATTCATGTTCACCAAAACAAGAATATAATGAACTTCCTATAAAGATTACATGTCTGTCAAATTTCCAGCTCAGGAATGTCAGATTATTGCCGTCAGCTTTGACATGATTCATGGTATGTACTGAATTAAAATACTTATTAGTTGTTAAATTATGACACGGGTTGTCATTTAAGAATCCAAAGGATTTTAACTTTATTAATTTAATATATTAAACAAAAGAACAGCCATTACAAATCTCAAGGGTAGTGTTATTAATATTTTATTAGGAAATATTTTATCTCGAAGGCAATATTTTTTTGGCTAAAATATTGAGTTAGCCGTTTTTAAAAACAGGCTCAAATCGCGCCGTTTAGCAACATTACTCAGCAGGGGGCTTAACTAAAAGAATTTGTAGGGGGTCCTATCCTATATTTTGCGGGCCCCTGGTGCGCTTTTGCATGGTCTTCGGCCGAGTTTTTTATAAATATATTATATTTTTATAATATTTCTGTATTTATATATCTTGCCATTTATTATGCATACAAATAATGAAAGTAAAGCAATACAAGACATTTTCTAAACATAATATATTTTACAAAATATATATCCATTATAAAAAAAATTTTGTCTAAATAATTACAAGTGATAAAAAGGTTAACCTTTATTGATGATTGTTATAAAACCACACAAGGCAATATAATTCTTAGCAACCTATCGTCGGTTTAGAATTGGAGTGCTCCACTAGACATTTTCAAAATTTTTGAGTTAGAAGTGGATAATAATTTATTTATTCCAAATATATATATATAAATAAAAACTAGATTAAAAAAAAATTAACTTTTTCCAAAGTCATAGCTGTCAAAATTGATCAATAAGTTATTCCTATATTTGATTATAAACTTTAATGTTGATTTTCTCATTTTAAACATTTGCGCGCACTCCAATTCTAGGCCGACGCTAAATTGCCAAAAGGTCATTAAACTAATATAACAATATGTTTCAATTTTGACAATGTTTTATAGAATTGACTAATAAGGAAAAATTTGTAGGCCTAATCAAATCTTTCTTGAAGAAGATAATATAAACGACTAATCTAAATCGTAAAACTATGGTAGTTAGAACTATATAGCATTATGGAAGCTAGATAATTAACGTGAAAATTATTGTAAGATATTAAATTTTCTAAAAGATTATCTTCAATTTTTAATGATATATAAACGATTAGACAGTTTTGCTCATCTAAATTATGAAATCAAATGCTCTTAGCAGCAGAAGTAATAATTTTAAATTACATAGCCACACAAATAATAGATGCTGGTTAATTGGCAGTCATAGCTATGACACTCGCGGTGTAAACTCATATCAGAATTTATTGTTATTTAAATTGAAAAAAAGACACTAAAAAATTTTAGAAGAAATAATTGAAAATATATTCAAGCCATTTGAGATATTTACATGGTAAAGATGCCATATTAGTAATATTTGTAACTAGAAAATAAGGGCCAGAATGATATGATGGAAAAAGATAAGGTAAAAAATATCTCATGAACTTTACATCCATTGTGAGATGAATAATAAGATGTTTAATTTTTTACAATGGAATGCAAATTGTTACTTATATTTATTATCAAAAGCATTGATTAGTATTTTTAAAATATCTATACTGTCAAATATGTCAGTAAAAGTGGCATTTTACCAAATATTTTGGAACCAATTCTATATAATAGAGAATTATCAGCTATATCAACTTACTAAAGAAATTTCTTATACTTATTTGGACCTTGGAAATATTTTTAGGAAATGATTATATATATATATAATTATAAGGTTTTAAAATAATTTTAATAATAAAAATCTATTAATGCTAAATTGATATTTTAGATGTTTTGATTGATATTCCATTTTTAACAGAGAATTTGATTGCAAGCTAACATAGTGAAAATATAAATTATATGTACTAATTAAAATGGCACTCATTTAGTAAAATTTTAGATAGTCCTATTAATTTTTAAATAATAAAATCAAATCTATATATTGCTTAATAGTATTATAAAAGAAATTGTTCAGGAAGCTATCAAAAAATTTACTTTTAATTCAGGGGGATATTAGGGAGCCATTAAAAAAAAATTTCTTTCAGGGAGCTTTTCAAATTTTTCAGGAGGCTCTAGTCCGTGCATGCGCCCCTCCCCCCTAGTGACGCTACTGTTACTTAATTAAAAAACGTGAAAAGAATAATAATAATATTACATATTCCATTTATACTAACTCTTAATATATAAACTTATATACTCAATTTGATTCGTAGTTTTAATATTATATGGCTATAATATAATATATATAATTTGCAACAACCTTTTATATTAACATTGTCTATTTATTTTAACAAAACAAAATTTGCATATTAAACTTTATGATACTCTCGACATTAGATAAAAAATAATAATAAAACTTATTAGCAAAATTCAGATTTAATATATTTTTAATTTATTTATTTATTTACAAAATAAAATATTTCCTAATCATTTCAATTACTTAATATATTAAACCCAGTTTTATTTTAAATTAGATTCAAAGTTAGAAATCAATAAAAATTATTTAAAAATGGAATAAAATTTATTGTAAAAATATACTATTACATTTAAAAGAATTATCAAAAAAGGATCAATATTACAAAACTAATTAAAAATAATTGTAACTTAGAAGAATAAAACGAATGTGGGGAAAAAATAGAAATACTTTGGGTGCCATTTCAAAGAGTGATTGAGCAAAAATGGGAAAGTTGCCCTTCATTATAGTATGACAGATAAAACCCTAAAAATTTGGGGGCATTTAGAAAATAATTTTGGGGCCTAATTAAAAAAATAATTTTTTTAAAAAAATGGTATAAAAATAAATATGTATTTATACAAAATAATTTTAAATATTATGAATTTAAACATTTAGCACTCAATTTTCATTAGTTCTTAAAATGTGGATCCATGGAAATAAAAAGACATTTTATTTCTGTATTATTGTCTTAAAATAAATAGCCGCAAAATATAAATTTTTTGCTATTTGTATTAAAAAATTATTAATGTTATATGAGTACAAAATAATACTATAATATGAACATACAAAATAATACTATAATATAATACGACGATTTTTATTTTTAAATTTTAACAAAAATTAATTAAAGGATAAATTTTGTGTTAATTTTATTTCATAAGCCATCAATACTGAATTTTGCTTATTTTGATCTATCGACCCTCTAGTGATCGATAGAACTCCTTTATTATAGAGAAAGAAGCCACACAAAAAGTCGTTGGTACCCCAATGATGATGGCCGCTGAGTAGCATTTATATAATTCTCTAAATGCATGATATTTTTTTATACATAATATTTAGGATATTTTCAAAATTATGTGTTTCTTTAACTTCAGCAGCTAATAATCCTTTAGCTATTTTAATTTCATGATGTAAAGTTTCCATATTTAAGTTTCGATATAAATAATAACTATCAAAGGGGGACAATGTATTAAAACTTGATAGATTATAATCATCTTGTGTAAATCTATCTAAAAAATTATCAACAAAGTAATCAATATTTTCATAATAATTCCATTCTTTTTCGCAATCAAATTGTAATTTAGTTTCGATTAAAAAATCTTGGAAATTTATAGGCGTTTTACGTACTATTGATGATTTGTGGGGATTGAGATTAAATTATGCTAAAAGTTTTTAAGTCTTTATTCTTATATTTTTTTAATATATTGATCGTGGAATCAATACAATTTTTAGCATCTACTTGATGAGTACCTACTGACTCTAGATACTTATATAGTGGATCTATTGTTAATAATATCTCATTAATTATAATGGCTAATATAACGTAATTTATATTAACGTATTGAGATAATAGACCAGAGGCTTCGACAGAATCATGAGTGGAAGCCTCTGAATTAAGAGTTCCATTAAAAAAGTAAACTAATACTTCACCAGTAGCCTCAAAATTAACATATATGATGCGAGATGTATCTAAATGACCAGTCCACCTCTGGTCTAACAGTCTCTTAAGAGTATGACCTGCATATTTACAGGATACGTAAAACTGCCTAAAAAATTATGCAATGCATTGAATTAATTAAAAAAAATTAGAAATGATAACAATATTATTATACCAATTTTGAGCCACAAGATGCAACATGTGGTTGTAGCAATGTAAAAAAGGAACTTTTTTATTAACTTTTTTTAAAGTGCGGTTTGCACTCCTCTATTTCGGCTAGACATAACGTTTGCACCATCATATGCCTGGTTTATCATATTCGTTGAATTAATATTTAACTCATTAAGTTGCTTTACAATGCAATTAGTAATGCTTTCAGCAGAAAGACACTGTAAATTAGGCCTATTCAAAAACGAATTCGAATACGAATAATTTACTATTTGAATTAGTACGAATAATAAAATCTACTATTTGTATTCGATTGAAATTATTCGAATAATTCGAATTAATTTTTTTAATAAAATAAATCATACTCAAATATATTGACAAATTTTTTTATTACAAATATGATTTTAAACAGAAAAAATTATAATAATATGTAATCAATAATAAATAATCAAGTTATAAACATAATTAAAATGTATATTATCAATTTAATTTATAATTTAAGCCAATTTTTAAGGCAAAGAGTTTTTCTTTTATTTTCTTCCTTATATGACATGCGGTTTGACAATAAATTAGTTCCAACTGAGATTAGCCTTTCACAAGCAGTTGATGTTCCTTGTATAGATAGATAATCCCTTGCCATTTTCGAGAGTATAAGGATCCGATATGCATTTGCCTTCCACCACATACGAATCATTCTAATAATGTTTCTTAGTTTTAGAATTGAAGGATCTAAAATTTTTAAAATTTCTTTGGATATTAAATTAATTACATGGGCAAAGCATCATATGTGCCCTATTTTTATTAATGGATATTTTAAAGAAAATGATTCAATAAATGTTTTATTATTAGTTGCATTATCTAAAGTTATATAAAAAATTTTATTCTCTAAATTATAATTTTTAATTATTTTAACAAAGGCTTTAAAT